ACCTGGTTATTTTCGCAAGAGGATTGTTCCCAAAGCCTGAGCCTGCTCCCCATCCCCACCCAGGCTCTGTGGCTTCCTGTCTTGCTCACACACCTCCTCCCAACATTTCCATCCACTGTGAGATGGTGCAGCCAGAGGGAGGCCCTCACTAAAGCCTGTGCCATGGTATTTGGACTTCCAGCCTCTAAAATTGTGAGTCTAGTGAAACTATTTTCTTTGTAAAGTTGCCTGTCTAAGGCATTTCATTATATTAAAAGCAACACGGAATTAACATAGTAGGTTAAAACTCTAGCCTCTGGATTATTTTTATTTTAATATCTTTCCTTCTTTTTTTTCACACTAAATGCTACATTACTGAGAGGCTTCCTCTCTCATGGTTGAAACCAGCAAGGTCTCAAGGGGAGGTATTGAAGACAATTGTTCTCAAATACCCTACGTATAGAAGGGGATGGTTTCCCTCTGAGTCTTCAGCCCAGTGTCTCAGTGGACTAACAACATAAGGAAGGACACTCATCTGGCTCAAGGTCATAGCTCTGCTTTGATATTCCTCCTGGAGACTTGCATGTCAATGAGCAGTCTTCCTAATTTCTAGGGCTCTCTGTTTTTCCCTTTCCTGTGTATTAATGAGTGTTACAATGAAAACTCCTACTTATTGGCTAGCATCTTCATCTAAAGTCTAATTTTGTCATTTTTCTCAAATAACACAAGAGAGTTTGGGTCTCTTCCCTTCCCTTCTAAGAGTGTCTCTTCCAGCCCATCCAAGTCACAGGTGGTGAAAGGCCTTCGTTTTCCATTTTGCCTTGACGCCTTCAGCTGTCCTCCTGTTAATGGTGGGACCAGAGTTCATAGCGGTGACATACTGGTTGGTGGCCAGATTCCTTTTCTCTGCCATGTTTTGCAGTCAGCGTTGGCAGTGCCAGGAAAGGATCCTCACTCTGAGTTCTTCGGACATCCTGAAAAGTGTCCAGGTTTTGGACCTGGGAAGACTGGAATCCAAATCCCTACTCTACCATTTACTGGTGGTGTGACTTTAGGTAAATGACCCGAGCTTTCTGACCATGTCCTTTCTCCTGTGACGTGGCAGTAAAATACCCACAAGTCTTGGCCAACATCAGGCCAACAGAAAATCAATTACTATGCAGAAAACACCTGGCACAAAATTGGGTGCTCGATAAAGGTTGAAGGTTATGCTGTAATTGTCACTATCCTAATAATTAGCATAATAATGTCATAGTCTAGATATTGCAGTTCTCCACGGAATGAATGAAGGATGGTGGGCATCAGGTTGTGTTAGGGTTTGGATGTGAGGTGTCCCCCCAGAAGCTCATGTGTGAGACAATGCAGGAGGGTATGGAGGAGAAATGATTGGGTTATGAGAGCCTGAACCCAATGAGTGAATTAAATGCCAGTGGGATTAACTGAGTGGTAACTGGAGGCAGGTGGGGTGTGGCTGGAGGAGATGGATCTTTGGGGTCGTGGCTTTGGGATATATATATATTTTTATATTAAAAATGGAGTCTCTCTGTCTCTCTCTGCTTTCCGATCACCATGTGAGCCTCTCCCCTCCACCACACTCTCTGCCATGATGTCCTGCCTCACCTCGGGCCCAGAGGAATGGAGCTGGCTGTCTATGGACTGAGACCTCTGAGACCATGAGCCCTCAAATAAACTTTTCCTCCTTTACAATTTTTCTAGTTGCATTTTTTTTTTGTTGTTGTAGCAGCAGAAAAGCTGGCTAAGGCAGGTTGTATCATTCATGCTAACCCCATGCTTCTGCAACTGAGTTTATCAGGCATACAATTAATTTATGTGCGTGACTTTTGAAAAGTTCCTTTCCTTTTTCCTGCTTCTATTTCCTATCTGTAAAATAAGGGCACTGGACTGTATCAGGGTAGCAAATAGGTTTAATCTCTCATGTCAACCCCAGCTGATCAGTCGTGGGTACCTGGAAAACAGATTTTAAAGGATTCTGAGGCCTTATGGAGGCTCAGCAGATAAGTTTGCCATGATCTATTAGCAATGCCTGTAATGGAGAGAGAGGAGAGTCTGGTGGCTGCTATTTTGAAATTTCCCAGGCCTGGACTCAGTGTTCTTCAATGCTTTTCTTTGCTTCTAAATCCTTTAATTTCCCCCCACCCCCTTGGGTCTTCTTGATTTGAGTTTTGTGGGCTGGACATCTTATCCATCTAAATGTATATTCAATATCATTAGAGTGAAAGTAGGTGTGCCCAGTCCAGTCAAGGATGCAAAAAGAGGGTGATAGGTTATGTATAGGTCATCTTCTCTGAATGGGACAAGGATTTCTTTGAAGCCTCATGGCAATTTGCACATAAAAAAAAAAAAAAGCATTTCCATCAAAAGGGAAAACAGACCAGCAATGCCAGGTGGGTTTGGAATATGAGTTTCTGGTAGACTTCAGTCAATAACATTTAGCAGCGAACACACGGATGGGTTTTACCAAACTGGAAACAGTAATTTCCTGACCTACAATAGAAAGTTATAGGTTTCTAGCAGCTGTTGTATAATTATATGAATGTGTGCTGCAGACAGATTATTTTGGAAATTGATTTAGCTACTTCTTTGGATATTTAAGGTCTAGAACAAAGGTGTCTGTTTTTCATGGGTACTTGGTTGATTTAAGCAATGAGGTTTGAGGTTTCATCAAGCTTCGGGAACAAACCCACGTATGAATCATTTTTTGGTCTGACATTTTTTTTTTTTTGTAAGGAAAAATAAGACCTTCAGTCACCCACTGGCATTTTATGAACAGAAGCACGAGATTCTTCCTGCAGGGTCGGGGCAATTGGCCTTCATTATAAAAGCTTTTCAGATACGGATTTGATGTTAGATCTTTTGCTCCAGAGTCTCTCTGGCAGCCTGCCTCCCCCCCCCCCACCCTTTCCCTCTATGAATCACTGCCGACAGCTATAATATCTGTTTATGAATTTTTGATCTCTGGCAAAGCAAAAAATAACCTGTCTATAGTCATGCTGTTCTACTAAATATGATGAAAAATTATATTTTATGTGGCTTTCTCGGAAATAACCAACAAGAATTATGAGTTTTGTCCTCAATGTACCTTCAGCATGGCTCTATGATGGACAGACATTTTTATAGGGGAATCTATGAATAGGACAGCAGCAATAAACAGCTGAAAATAATCTATGAGGCGTTTGCAAATTACCCCTCATGAGCTGCAGTGGTTGTGAAAGATAATTTGTGGTTCTTGCAGAATACCCTGCAAATTGGGTCTTTCATCTGCAATGATTTTTACAGTTAAAACATTTCATTTCTCATATTAACAAATGATAACTCTGCATTTGTTAATCTAAACAATTTGATTTATATTTTTTTCTGTGCTGAGAAGCTGTTGACATTTCAGGGTAAGTAATTATTTTCCTTGCCAACTGCTGTTTGTGGTGATGGTAGGCAAAAGATAGAAATCAAAATGTACATCCTTTCCCCCCCCCCCTTTAAAGACTATCTGTAAAGCCGGAAGTCAGCTTGCCTGAGTTATCATCTGTACTTAGAAATTGAATAGAATAGGGGTGTTGACATGTGAGGATGCTAACTATGTTTAGGGTTTTCTGCAGAAGTTCTCTGTGAGGGAGGGGGTAGGGGCTGGCTTGCAGTGTCACCAAACCTTGGGCAGGGCACAGTATGCTTCCAGTCTTCAGTCACCACAGTTAGAAGAAGCACACATTATTGGCCTCAGTAGTTCCAGCTTGTATGGTATCTATTCGAGTATCTCATAGGGTGGGTGTCAGGATTCCATGTGGAATGTTGACAAGAACCACTTTACACCATGCCTGATATGCAGCATTAGCTCTTACAACATTGGTAAGAATTGGAATGGGGAATAAAAAAAAATCTTCTAAACGTCCTTTCTCAGATTGGCTAAGAATTCACAGTCCAGGACAATGAAAAGACAGTGTTTTTGTTGTTGTTTTTCTTTTTTTCTTTACCTGGGAAGAATTTGCTGTATCCTTAGAGCAGGGTGCTCAGTCTTGCCCACTGGAATGGCTGGCATATGGCAACGTGGAGAGGAGATGCCACAACCTGGGATAGAGCCCAGACAGCAGGTCTTCCCTGCTGTTGAGATTGAACCCAGGGGCACTTAACCACTGAGCCACATCCCCAGCCCTTTTTATTTTTTATTTTGAGACAGGGTCTTGCCAGGTTTATCTTAATATTCAGATGAAGAAAAAAATATAAAAACCCTTACCATCCCAGTTTAAAAGTTTTCTACCAGCAAAATCGCTGCTTCAAAAGATGGCCCATCTTTAGCTTGAGGGTAAGCAGAGCTCACACTAGATAGAGCACACCAGGGGCAGTTGTAAATTGCCTCTGTGATGATTACAGATTCATCCCCGTGACCCCTGCACATATGATACAGTAGGTTCATCCATCTGTTTCCCTGTCTTCTTGGCACTGTCGGGCAAGACTGGGACTATGTCTGTCCATCCTGCTCATATGCAAACCTTCCATCACATTCCAGCTAAGGAATGGACTGTGGACTTAGGATCCAAACTAATTTTTACATGGCCTTAAGGAGTGAATGTAGAGCCAGTATTCTGAATGGCAAATGTGCTTTATCCTTTGAACCGATTCCAATTGATTAGTTCTGGTTGCCTACAGTGCTGTCTTAAGAAACCATCTGTGGCGCATTGGGGCTCAGCTGGGAGGAGTGCTGGGATTGATTATCAATGTCTGTCATGGCCTCTGCAGGGACTGCTTGCTATATATATATATATATATATATATATATATGCCGTTTTCTGCCTTTAACATGTCCCTAACTCCTCTGCACTCTTTTCCCTGTGTAAAATAAACTGACTCCTAAAAAGTGACTCTAAGTAGGAGCTGAGAGAGAACAGGTACATTTCACTTTAAGAAAACCTAGCATGGCGAAAATGCAAATATACAAAAGGCATAAATCTGGAGCCAATTATTTCCATTACAGAAAGATTCCATGAAAGGTTCCTTTAAATAGCGAGGTCCCCTACTGCATTAAAATGATGATTCAATTTACAAAAATTCACGTTGCATGCAGTTCTTCAGCCTTATACCTGATTTTATTTTATTTTATTTTTGAAGCCACGGCCTAAATAATGTTCAGGGTGGCTGCCACCACTTATCTGGAGCCTCTTGGAAATTCCCACTCTCTTCAAGACTTCCTTCTGACTTCCTATCCCAGAGTGTTGAGAGACARTCTGGGTGGTGATCAAGAGCTGCTGGCTCCCACACCCTGACGGGGCTGCATTTCATTAGTGGGGGGAAGAGATGCATTCGCATCCTGTCTGTGCACGGGTGTGGTTGTGCAAGCCTGTGCCCTCTGTGCACCACGCAGGCAGATGCAGATACACAAAAGTCATTACGCTCGCTTTCCGACTAACCTAAATTCATTCCTGCTGTGAGTGTTATAAATGGAAGCTTCTAGTCTCCTGGTGGATAGAGCCTTCTGGTAATCTCTGCCCTGAATTTGCTTATGTGTTCTTTACCTTTGCATCCAAAAAAAAAAAAAAAGAAGAAAGAAAAGAAACTTCCCCAGACTCTGGGCCTGAGTCGCATTACCCAGATGTGGAACCCTCCTCTTCCTCTGCATCGTCCTACAAAGCCCCAAATGGTTTTCTGATTTAGGAAATTAAATATAATCTGACTCTTGTGGCAAGCTACGAAATTCCCAACCAACAGACGCTCCCATTAAATGTATAACATACACAACATCTAAAAGTATCCACCGATCTAGCATGAACTTGAATTATAGAGGCATTCAGTGCCCCTCGGGTAGGATCACCAGCCTCATCCTAAGCACTCAGACTTGGGCAGTTCTCAGTGGACCCTAAAGCTCCTAGGAATGCTGACTGGCTCACATGTTGGAATTTTTTTTTTTTTTTTTTTGCTCTGCAAAAGCAACTTAATCCAGGGAAGGGCACCTGAAAGAGATGGTATCTTCCCTTTCTGAGTGCATGGTCTTCCAATGCCTAGAATCACTGTCATAACTTTGCAGACACAGAGTACAAGTATCATCTCTATTTCATCTATGGTATTTTAAAAATCTCCAACCTAAATTTCTTCCCAGGAATATATATATATATTTTTTACAAACACATCTTACTGTTTCTGTTGGAAAAAGCAAAATCAGACCGTTAACAGTGAACACATCGGCTCACTCGGACACCTGGTCTACAGCCATCAATCCTCTTTGAGATGAAAGCTCTCAGGCCAGTGAGTGGTCAAATACCTCTTTTCCTCCCATCTTCCCAGAGTCACTGGTTTGAGCCAAGGGGCCCCGATGGCCCTGGGCTGTAATAGCCGCATAGGTGCAGCCATAGATGGCAGCCGCCAACATCATGAGACACACGATTCCACATAGAACCCCCGTGATGACAACGGTGGCCACTGCGTGGCGCAGGTTGGTGGGCCTCGGCTTGGGTTTGACTTCACATGCCACAGGGTCTCGCTCCTCAGAGATCCGGTTCTCAGGAGGCTTGGGGACCTCCCCGTGGGCAGTGCCATGCTGCTGACCCTGTGAGGGCTCCAGATGTGGAACAGGAAGAGGACAGGGCTGGTACAGCTCGTGAGGAATCCTAAGGAGATCCTTCCCCTTCCACATATCAGGTGACGCGCAGATGACACCATCCATTACTCCCCCTTTAGAAAACAAAAGCAGAGAATGATAACAGAACCCAGATACGACTGTGGTCCAAAATCTTTAGCTTAAAAAAAAAAAAAAAAGGAAGGCAGATGGAATTTATAAGGTATCTTTATAAACTTTTTTTTCCATTCTTTATGATTTTAGGATTTCTAAATTAGCTAAATGCTAAAAATGCCACACACTAAATTGGCAATTACATATGACCCAGAATTCATCAGAAGCCAAGTCACCTTTACATCATATAAATGCTGATGGGGAAAGACAATTCCAAGGCTGACAAGAAGGGACTCCCAGGGGCGACACCAAGGGTGCCGTAGCCTAGCCCTGAGGCCAATCCCCTAAGGAGGCCCGAGCCCTGCCACACAAGAAAACTTTTGTGCCAGATTCCTATTGTAAACCTTAAAAAAAAAAAAAAAAACACAGAACAAATGTGCATTGTTATGATGCTGTGTGTTGATCACTGAAATGCCAGGTGTCTACCAACTCTCCTCAGTGATGCCAAGGGCAGTGGTGGCAAGGTCCTTGCGGTGCTTTGTGTATCTCRGAATTTGCCAATTGGTTTCGTTCGTGGGATTAAGTATAATTAACCTGTCTCCTCAGGCCTCGAAAGAGTTTACTACTTTGAGTACCGGATTTTCCAAAGGGTTATTAAGTGCACTTTCCATTCCCCACGAGGCAGTTGATTTCCTCGGGTGTGTAGACTTCTGACATTTGTGGGATTCCATTGCTGGGGCATTCTCTAGAGAGAGCGCTGGGTTCACACACTTCCTTCTGGACGAGGTTGGTCACTGATTTACTGAAAAAGAACTTTTTTGACGAAATTCTCTGCCGTACAAGCATCAGATTTGTATCCGACTTGTTAGTTTACAAAGCACAGAGGGCTCCTTACGCTCTGCTAAGAGAGGAAATTCTTAAGCAAACTCATGCAGGTCCGGAGCAGACAAATCAACATCTAAACTCAGTCCTTGCCCATCATTCTCAAGTTTCCCCCACCCCTCTCACTGTCCTGCTCTACTTCCTCCTCTCTGGAGAATCGTGAGGCCAGGGCAGTGGGCAGGAGAATCCTCATAAAGCCCTAGGACGGGGCAAAACTCTCCTGTGATCTGTGACTTAGTTCTCCCAGCCTGCTATAAACACCTCTCCCGGGAGGACTCTCTTAGCCAAATTAGATGGAAGATTCTTCGCACAGATGGTTGGTGGATTGTGAAATTATAGCAGACCTACACACATGGAGGTCATTACTTCAACTTATTAGCACCTGCCATCACACAGCCCTTCAGAGTTTKGGAATGCTTTCCTATCCATCCTACCTAAGCCTTTTAATGCAAGCCCTAAGTGGCCCTGTAAGTACCTAGGACCACTCCACTGTGCAAGAGTTGTCACGTGGCCCAGGCACACCAGGGTGAGTGGCAATGGCAAAATTCAGCCTATGCCCTTTCTGCTGCCATTGCTTAAACCTGAATCATCTTCTGCCAGGATGTCTCTAGCCCCCCCCCCCCCCCCCCCCCCCCCCCCCAGCTTCTTCTGTGATCCCTTGAGGCAAGAGTTGAGACTCTAAAGCTAAAAAGGTAAAAGAGGAATTTCTTCTTTTTCCAAGCTGTTGGTTCTCGGGAGGCCAGAGGTACGGGGTAGCGGCCCAAGGTGTCATCCAGCTGCACTGTCATTGAAGTCTTGCCATATAGATCATTGCATTTCTGTGCACCTGGCCATTAGAGTCTCTCCCTGGGAGTTTGTTKCGAGGAAGAAGGCCAGAGAGAGAGAAATGAAGAGCGGGGCTCTGAGAAGTACTAAGTACATTTAACCTGGCCAAAGAGCACAGATACTTCTACCAGGGTTCGAAGGTCTCTTGCCAAGAGCAATTCCATCAGCTAACCTATACCCAGACCAAGGTGATTTATTTAATGATTCCATAACTGGTCTTCTCCATCTTCAGTCTTCTGAATGTTCAGTGTTMGAATGGGATCCACATCTTGGGACACAGAGGCAAGAGAATACATAGACTAGAGCCTGGGACTGTGGAAGGGGCCGTGACTCCCAACAGCTACATGGCCTCCTGTGCAGCTACATCCCCAGCCAGGGTCTCCTCACACTCTGCCACCCCCATCTAGGAGGCCATGGCATCAGAGACAACTCTGCTGACTATAGCACGAGGAGCTTTACCCGCTTCTAGATTATATAAGTTGACAATGCAAGAAGCTCCAGCTTGCCATGAGCACACTGTCCCCCACCTGACCCCTAGTGGCTCTCAACCTCTGTCTTGGAAAAAATTGGATTCAGATCTCAAATCTGCACATGACTTATTATACAACCCCAAAAGGTCTTTGACCATACCGTGCCTCCACCTGTGCTTCTGAAAAGTGAGAGACAGGACGAATAATGAAATTCGCTTCCCACGATTGCTCTGTGGGTTCAGTTGGATAAACCATGTCAAGTATTTAGCACCATACTTAGTCTAGAGTCAGTGTTTAATAAAGTTAGTGATGAGCATCAAGATGGTTTGCTTACTCGTAAATAAAGAGGAATAGTCAATGTAGAATCAAATCTATGTGCATGTTTCTGTGGAGGAGATATGGTTAAGTATTCACCAACATACCTCTTTTGCCCTTAGGCCCGTAGGAAGACTCAGTTTTTGCACTCTTTGGGGTTATTTTGGGGCTAGGTGACTGAGAACTGCCCAATGGAACCATGAATGCCCTTTCCAGGAGATGACATCTCCAGCATGGTCTTACGTGGGTTTCGTCCCCTTTGGGTGGTGGTGTTGGAGATTGTGTGGTGAAGTGGGCCACATCACAACCTAAGAGGGGCTTAGATCTCTGAACAATGCATGGAAGGCAGACCAAGTTMCCAGTTCTCTTGAACCCTAAAATGAGTGAGCAACAGACATTTTCTTGCATAAATGACTGAAGTCTAGGGATGTCTGTTAAATCATTTAACACCTCTGGAATTGCTTTGGTTTATAAGGATATTGATTAATATCTATTCCTTTATTTTGTCTTTATTCGATGCATTCATTATATGACTTTCATATTTAGTATCAATATGGATTTTTTTCTAGTTATTTTGGGACAACCAGATTTCCGGTGCCCCCAATTGATTTTTCCTTCCTCTGACGAAAGGCTGATATCTGTGCTCCTGTGCTGTGTCACGAGGGAGGGTGAACTGCCTCACTGCTTCTGAGGATCATCATGGGCCTTAATACTATCACTTTTTATCTGGTGACACTGAGCACAATATTAATTTTCCCAAAGACCACCAGCAAGTTTTGTGGTTGAGTAAGGAGAACTTCATCCCATCCCACATTGCTTCTAACATCCTGGGCCTGGGAACTCTATATATTCTAATCAAGAAATATTCTTCTTTGATGAAAACTCTTTTGTGTGATGGTCTGGTATATGCCTACGATTTAATCCAGAACACAATAGCTCAAGCTCCTTACCCCCAGCTGTAATTAGTTGTATTTGAAGCCTCCTATCAGAAGGAGGTTGGCACATGCTATATAGCTCCTGTTGTCAGTTAACTGGAATGTTGGCTGGTGAGTGAGATGTGATTTGCTATTTTACTGTTGAGACGCTCGCTTAATTCAGTATTGTATATTTGAACTCGAGCTGTTTTCTAACTTGCCTTCGTCTGTGCGGTCCAGATGCTATTGATTCTCTAATTCATGTCTGTAGCATGTATATTTTCTTGAGCAAGGGCTCAAATCTTGAGCTCCCCTTGGATTTGGTATGGGTGTCTCCAACATGCCCCCAAACCAACTCTTGACTCTCTGCCTCCCCCTTCCTCACTTCCCCCACTCCCAATTTGCTAAAGGCATCACCATTTCTTTGGCTACCCCTGCATGACAAAATGAAATAGAATTTCCCATCATTAGACTCTTTTCTTCATCTGTCACTCAACCTCATTAGCCATTCCTAGCAGTTTAATATTCCAGGTGTCTCCCAAAGCCTTGCCTTCTTACCACTCTGTTTGGGGCCACTATCATCCTCTCCCTGGCCAACAGGATTCATCTTCTTTTTTATATCTCTCTGGCTCTTCTTCTACAGCTTTTAGATCGCTCTTCCAAGACTCACCAGAGTAACCTTTTTAAGTTGTAATCAGATCATATTGTTCCCMTGAATAAAATGCAAGGGCTTTCCATCTGACCTAAAATAAAATCCCAGGCCCAAGGTCTGCTCTGCACAGTCCTGCATGACATGGTCTCTGAGGACATGCATTGCCTCTTCTCTGTCCCCTCTGTCACAGCCTGCCTCTGTTCTAGCAACTCTCTGGTTCTCCTTTTGTCACCAAACTTGATGTCTTTCGCCTAGTCATCTCCTGGCTCATTCCTCCTTGTTCTGATTCTTCTCACCCATGTCACCTCCTTGGAAAGGACTTCCATGCCCATTCAGTCTAAAATGGGGCCCCTTCCCCTCATACTCCCTCTGCTTCCCCTGCCTAATTGTCGTCTTAGCACTGTCGTCTTAGCACTGCCGCCTGAGCACGCATCATTACCCGTGGTCTTAATTAACATCCATGCACACTGCTCTAGATACTCTAGATATTCTTGTTCATGGTCCTTTTCTCAGAGCCCAGAACAGTGCCTGGGATATAAAAAGCATTCAAGTGTGGGAATCAATGAATGATGTTCAGAGACGCACTATGGAGTACAGGGAAGAATGTGGGGCCAAGAACCAAAGTCAGGCTTTCTGTTTTCCTCTTTGCTTCTGCTCTGTGATCTTGGGCAAATCACGGAACCTCTCTGGGCCTCTGTTTCCCATCGATAACAGGGATTTGCCAAACTTCTATTAAGAGCCAGATAATAAATATCAGCTTTACCAAACAGTCAGTCATGACCACTTAAACTTGCCCTTAGAGTGCAAAACAGCTGCTCAGTATGTGATGAATAGGCATGGATGTTGGCTGACAAAACTGCATTTACACAAAGAGAAGAGGGACTGGATCTGGCCTTAGGGCTGTGGTTTGCTAATCCTTGGGTCATTTCCATAGCCTCCCTCCATCTTTAATATTCTGGGATCTCTTGCTTTGCTTTTTGATATCTGGTTAAAGAAATAATGAATAACTTTAGAAAGAGGTCATATTGCACCCAAGTTCAATAACAGTAGTACTTACTAAAGCAGAAAGAGATTCTTTTAGGGAAGATTTTCACCTGTCAAATGGATAGAAGCAAACAAAGAGGAGAAAATATCCCAAAGAGTGATAACCCTGTCCCCAATTGGATCATACTTGAAAATAAGAGTTTAGTGCCACTTTGGGGTGAAGCCGTCACTCAGGTGGCAATTGAAGTCCCTCCTTCCTATGGGCATACCTGCCAGAGAAGTAACTTCATGTTATATTAATCAGACAAGAAGAAAGTTGTCTCTGTGCATTATATTTGTAGATGAATATAAATAACCTGAATTTAAATACCCTCTAATGACTCACCTACCTTTTTGCCAAACCATGAAATGACATCAATGTAAAAAAAAAAAAAAAAAAAAAAAGCTTAAAACTGCTCCTTGCACCCTCCTCAATGTATCTGCTAATGCAGAGAACAGATGAGGTTCATCCCAGGCTGGTGACACACAGATGGGGCTTTCCAAACAGACGTTACTGACCTGCATAGATAAATTTCTCCAGCCAGAGTTTAAGGCCCAGCAAGTGGCAATTGCATTTCCAGAGGTTGTCCTTGAGAAATAACAGCCTCAGGCTGGGCATGGATTCTAGGAGCCTGCGACTGAGATAGTGGAGCTGGTTCTGTCGCACTGCAAACAAGGTYAGGTTCTCCCAAGGCTCCGCCAGCGAGGTGGGAAGATGGCTGATGTTGTTGAATGACACATCGAGCTCCCTCAGCTGCCGGAGGGAATGGAAAAGTCTGCTTTCCAGGGAAAGCAGGGAGTTGTGAGTTAGGTTTAAGACRTGCAAGTGCCGAAGTCCATGGAAAACTTCAGGGGCCAGATGTGAGAGAGAATTGTTGGACAAGTTTAAGGTCATGAGCCGAGGAACTGACCTAAACGCGTGAGCGGGAAGCTGGCGTAGCTGGTTATCTTGCAAGAGCAGCGTTAGAGTCTGAGGAGGCAGATCAGGAGGGATTTCAGCCAGACCCCGGTGACTACAGTCTACAGAGTTTGAAGATGAGTGACAGATGCACTTCTCTGGGCAGCCGCACACGCCCTGGGGTGGGAAAATCGCACTCAAAAGCAGTAGCAGCTCACCTAGGACAAACAGAAAGAAAGTGGGCTCTGGGCTAGTGTTAGGAGAGAGATCTGCATGTATGTCCCTTTTTGGATTCACAGGTAATGTGATTCTGAGCCGGATAACACYTCCTGCAACCTAGATGACAGGCTGTGTCACTTCCCTTTTGAGTAGGGTCGGGACAGACTGAGTACATCCTATTTCACACCTTGCTAATTATTGTCAGCAGCCTCGGGAAAGATACTTTCCAAGTGCTTCAGTACCCACATGGTGGAAAAATAGAAAGGCGACMCATGGTTACAAATGCCTTTTGTAGGACACAGCTGCATCGTGTAGGGCCAGACTTGGAGAAGAGTGACAGGCCACTGCATCCAAGGAACTGAATATCATTTTTATTTCATTTGAATTAATTTTTAAATTGTGCCCTGTGGCCAGTAGTTACTATCTTGAGTAGGGCGGGTCTAAAGCATTCTTCCAGATTGACTTTCGTCATGGCAGGTGTAATCCTGAATGATCATCTCTGCTCTTTTTGTATTCAGTAGATTTTCAAAATACAGAGAAGCATTAAGAATAATATCATAATCAGGCCGGGCACSAWGGTACACGCCTGTAATCCCAGTGGCTCAGGAGGCTGAGACAGGAGGATCCTGAGTTCAAAGCCAGCCTCAACAATGTAGTGAGGCCTTACGCAACTCAGTGAGATCTTGTCTATAAATAAAATAAAATAGGATTGGGGATGTGGCTCAGTAGTTAAGCACCCCTGGTTCAATCCCTGGTACCCACCCTACCCCTTGCACCAAAAAGTAAGATTTTCATACTTACTTTATCCTTCCCCCACCATTACTGATACATCCCTCCAGGTATGTTAAAAACAATATTTAATAATCAATTAATATTTAATATTAATAGTTAACAATGGCAAATAAACATATAGCACAYATCTGGGGCCAACCATCATTCTATATGCTTTATATACATCAATTCGCCCCTGTAACATCGTTAAGTATGGTTGTACTCATTTCATCATTTTAAGGGTGAGGATACTGAGGCACAGAGACACCAAATCGCTTACCCAGAATCACACAGATAGTAAGCAGTGGAGCCATGATCTGAACCCAGACAATCTGCCTGCAAAGTGTGAGGGTTCTTATCTGCTCCACTCCAGTGCCTGTCAAATACTTTTTCATGCACACACACACTCATTTGCATTGTGGTTTCTAAATATTCACATAAATGGAATCATCAGTCTGACTCATCTGAAGTCTGTCGTCTTCCTCCATGCTGATCTAGCTACTTGGATACCTAGAGAGATRATTCATTCCTTTTAACTGCTATYGAATATTCCATGATGAGATCGTTTCGAATTCAATATTTACTCATCCCTTTACTGAGGGGCAATTGAGCAACTGCAATATTCCCCCCCCCCTTCATTACAAACAATGCTGTAAAAAGCATCCTTGCCTCAGCACTCCTTGGCTGTATGGGAATGTGGGAGAGGGTCCTTTGAAGGGGAGAGAGGATGCCAGTTTATGTTCTTCTTAGATTCTCTGAGATCCTTCAACAAAGTTGCTATAACACTTCTTGGGTTTTTTTTTTTTTTTTGAGACTCAAATTTCAAAATATGGCAAACATCTGTCAAGGGCATTTTGTCAAATTGGTAGAGGAATTCACAAGGCCACATGATGATATTTGAAACTTAAAAAGAGGGATCTACTCCTATTGAAAGTTCTTGATGGAGGTTGTTTGTTTGTTGGAAGGCTTAACTAAGGAAATATACAATGTGGCCTTCCCAGGCTCTGCAGCCTGCTCYCTTGTTCTGAATTCTCTCTCTGGAGCTAAGAGTGCTGAAGGCTCATAGGAAGGAGGCCCCGGAGCCTTCTGAAAGAGAAGCTGCTCTGTTTAACTTAATTCAAGAGAGGTGGGGTGTCACCATCCTCTTCCCCTTTCCCAAACAAAGAAGCACAAAATCCTTGTTCTCCTTTCACCAATTTTGCAGGTAAACGAAATGACTCCTTTCCAAGCCAAAATATCTTCCCATGAGAAACAAACCCACATCCCTCCCCTGAACTGTAGGGCTCAAACATGACTTAGCTGCAGGAAATCAATTCTTAAATAAGAGAATATGTTTTCCACGGAATCTGCTGAGCCATTAATGAAGGGCTTCTCTTTCTGAGATTGGAGCCAGTTGGTTCATTCTTCCTTTGGCTCCAACCCTCTCCCCCAAAGGGAATAATATATGAACTCCAACTGCCCGCGCCATGTTTTCTGTGAAATGACCCGTGGCATGCCCAGCGCACACTCACATTATGGCCGCATAATTTTATCTCCAGTCCCTTCCTCTGCACCCAACGTGGTGAAAACATAAATCTTCCCCTTCGGCGAAATTTTTTTACATATGTCCAGATCTTGTAAGGAAGACGACTTGAAAACAGATTTCACTGGACACCCTTCTGAGGGGATCCACTCCCTCCCTCCCTCCCTCCATTGGAAAACTCCTCCAAGGAGCGACAGGACTCATCCATCACGRCTCACCTCTCATGGCTGCGCCTCCACGGGACCAGGGTCCTTGCCGATCACGCAGCCCACCCTTATTAATTTGCAGATCCACAAGCCGAGGGCATGGCAGGACTTGGAGTTTTCATTCACTTCTTCTGAATCCTGCTTGGGCTTTTTTTTTCTTCGATGCTGAGAACAGTTGTCGCTTTCACAAGACCACTTCTTTAAGCAGCCTGCCCCCTTGTCTCCATCTGGCTGGGATCGGTTTCCATAAAAGGATCTTTTGATTGTGTCCCCTTCTTCTTTCTTAAAGTGTCGACCTCCCCGAGATCATCCCTGCCTTTCCCATTCAGACCGAGAGCCGCGCGTAAAGAATGTTTGTCAAATCTCGGTGAACAGCTGTAGCATTCAAACATGACCCCGATGGCTCGGCCTTTTTGATTATTTAATCTGCTTGGAGTCCAGGGCACCAAAATAAAAACGGCCTCCTTAATCCGATCGTGGCTTCTGAATTCTGTTGACTTATTAACCATGCTGTGTCCACCTCCTCGGGTTGGCGGTGGGGGGGAGACGCTCGATCTGGGGGTCTAGCAACAGAGCCAGCAGAGTGTGTAATATGAGGACAAATTGGCCTGCTGGAGGCTGACATGGTTTCCACAGTGCGTTTCTTTGGTCATCGGAGGCTTATTCAGCCAACATCCGTAGGGATTAGCTGTGTTGACAGGATCTTGATGCCCTGAAATTCATAGCCATGGTTTCCTTGCGTGGACATCGCAACCTCTTCCCCCACCCCTCCGAGGCCACAAATACTTCTCAGCTGCCGGCCAGCTCCCTCGTCCCCGCCCCCCACCCCAGCCCCGGTTGAATTGACCTTTGGGTTAGCATGACTTTGGAAATCTCAATCTTTCATCGTTTCCCTGATGCCAAGGGTCTGGCCCTTTCCTCATTTTTCACATGTGAAACAATAAAGCCTCCTGTGCGCATCCGACATCAATGAACTGTGACGTCCTCTAACTGAAGCTGCTGGGAACTTTCCCACCAGGGACAGGAACTCTTGTCTCTGAATGTGCAACTCCCCTGCCACTTGTTGAGGTGGGCTTTGGATGCTCGAGGTGGCTCTCCTACAACACCCCAACATGTTCTGAGTGCGCTCGCTCGGGGACGCCTTTCATGGAGGCCATAAGACCTGGAATCTCTGGCCCCAAAAGCTGTGAAGTGGAGCCTTTGCATGTGAATTTGGGAATCAGATGGGCCAGGATTTGGCTAGTCGGCTCAGGACCTCATCTCTAACATGGGGGATATCGGTAGTTTTTATTTCACAAGATTGTAATCAGAATTACCTAAAGCAATACATGTCGCAGCCTAGAGTGTGCTCATGAGTATTGACCAGTACCCACAAGTGTGCTTTGCAGCACTTCCCAGCTCCTGGTCTTGATAGAGGCTGGCCCTGAAGCCTGCCTGGTGCTACAAAGGCAGGAGGCTCCCTCTGAACAGGATTGGATAGTGACTATTCTTAATAGCCTATTCCTTGGGGACTATTGTCTCTAAGCCCCTTCCCACAATCATGCTGTGTGGCTAAATAAGGATGCCCATTTTGGGGGTTGAGGGTACCAGGATTGAACTCAACCACTGAGCCACATCCCAGCCCTATTCTGTATTTTATTTAGAGATAGGGTCTCACTGAGTTGCTTAGGATCTTGCCATTGCTGGCTTTGAACTCGTGATCCTCCTGTCTCAGCCTCCCAAACTACTGAGATTACAGGCGTGTGCCACCATGCCCAGCTAGTAATCACTTTTCCATGATACATGACCATCAGTGGCCACCTAAACATAGTCATTAATTCATAATAGCATAAAAAACACCTGTAAACTTTATGTTCCCTTTAAGAACTTGGAAGTTACTCTCTTTCCTTGGGGTCTGGAAACATTTTCGTGGAGGGTCAGGCAGTAAATATGTTAGACACTGAGGGCCCTCTGGTCTCTGGTGCAAGCTTACGTCCTGCTGTCCTAGTACAAAAATAGCCAGAGATGATCCTTAATGGATATGTGTGCCTGTGCTCCAATACAACTTTATTTACAAAAACAGGTAAAGGGCCTGATGAGCCAGTGGGCTATGGTTTGCAAACCCTGCTCTATCTCACCCTCTAGCCACTGCTGTCACCTCACCACCTGTCATCCACCCCCAACTCCCACCTCCCAACCAGGCATATCCATTTTATGTCCTATCTCCTCTTCCATAAAATATAGGATGATCTTTAGGGCTTGATTATGTCTAAAACCTTGTCACGCTGGTCAGAAATCAGGAGTGAGCTTCAAAGGCACTGTACTCACCAACTTTAGGGGTGTGTTGGACGAAAAATTTGAGCATGTATCTCTTTGGGTTATAGTGGAGCTATTTAGCCTTGTCTTGCAGAACCCAAATAGGATCTGAATCTCTTTGACTCAGAGGCCTGAGAAAGATGAATCCACTGAGAGCATGACTGGGCATGGGAGACCAGGACACTTGCAGGGAACTTCAGAGGACCAAGAAAACCTCCAGATACAACTAGGCTGTGTGGCTTAATGAGGATGCCCATTTTTATGTTGCATTGATCCTAAAGCTGTGTGGTCTTGGACAAATCACAACTTTTCTGAGTCTTGCTTTGCATCAGTAGAGCATGGATAATACCTACCTCCTAGGGGACAGGACAGATGAAGTGCTATTTGTCCAGTGCATAGCACAGATCTGGTCAATCAACAGCAGTATCTCCTCTTAGCAGTGCGTGTTCTCAGACCTCAGAAGAGTCTGAGCTGGCTGTTCCCATCTAAACTGGGAACACACAGAGAATCCCACAGAAGATAGATTCCCAGGAGCAGCTGCTTGCTGCCCCAGGAGGCTCTTGGTTCTATTTGTTCCTGCTGACTCTAACAGGTCATTAAAAGATAGGCAGTGCACACATGGATAGAAGGCTCCAGGACACGCTGAAGGACTTTGGATGTGGAGGCTGATTGATTTATTCCATCCGACCTCAGCCAAGAGAACAAAGGGAGGGTGCATGACCCGCATGCTAATGCCCACAGCTCCCCCCCTCCCTCCCTCAGTGAGCCAGCTTTAAGAGGTGGCAACAACTGTGCATGCGGAGTCACCAAGGAGAGATGTCACACGTCAGCACAGGCCAAATGCACTCCTTAGAGAGGTGGTTTCCCTGGACCAAGACCCAGCCGGACTCCAGCTTCCTTGCATAGAATCAAACTGCAGATTCACCCTCGGAATAATATTGGGGTTATTGTCACACTGAGGTTTCAAGAATTCCCTACCTTCTGAGACTCACTCAGTGGCCCAATTTAAGTCAGAATGGTTTCTAAATAAATAGGTCGAGTTACCATTTCACATTCTTCTGAAAAAACAACATCCACAACAAAAAATCGACAGCCATTATTAACCCTTAAAGTTGATGCTTTAAAATCCAGCATTTAATAACTTTCTTCCAAGAAATATTATATACGTCTCTTAAAGAAAATAAATGAGCACTTATTAAGTCCATCTCAGAAAAGATTCATAATAAGTTGTTAGGTGAAGTAAAGCAATTTGAATAGGAACGTATGTTATATAATTCTATTTGTGTTTTGTTTTGTTTTGTTTTTTTAAATAAAGGCCGACACAGTGGCAAATGCCTGGAATCCCAGCAGCTTAGGAGGCTGAGACAGGAGGATCATGACTTCAAAGCCAGCCTCAGAAACTTAGTGAAGCCCTAAGCAATTTAATGAGACTCCATTCAAAATAAAAAATAAAAAGGGCTGGGGATGTGGCTCAGTGATCAAGTGCCTCTCAGTTCAATCCCTATACCTCCATCTAAAAAAAAAATATATATATATATATTGAAAGTGCTAAACAGGTGGCTCAGTGGTAAAATATCCCTGGGTTCAACCCCCAAGGCTGAGAAAAAAAAAACGTTAAAGGTGGAGAAATAAACCCTGTAGTGTGTATTGGTGTATCTAAAAACACAAGAAGCTTGAAAGGGCAGGCACCAAACTGGTAATACTGATTATTTGACAAGACAAGGGTCTAGTTTAAGAAGAGAGAGAGCTTAACTTTTTCCGTCGTACCTCTTTTTCTTTATACCCTTGCTAATATTTAACTTGCTACAACAGACATGTATCACGTCTATAATTAAAAAGCTGCAAAGGAGAAGAGCTGACATTTTTGACCAGTAGATACACTCAAGGCACATTCCATTTACTGGACTATGCAGATGGCAAGATCTCTAGGGACCGAGTTGTAAGTGTACGTCCAGCATGCCTTGCCAGTTACCTCCTCTCACTCCCCCAGAGGACTCATCTGTCTTTCTGTGCCCAGGGGTCTCTGCCTGTGACAAGACCTGATAACGAACGTGAGCATTTCTCCCGGTTTTAACGTCTGCTTCGGTAAATCATGGCAAAGCTCTCCTCCGTTCCTGTCAACAGGAGCCCCATCCAGAGTACGTGCCTTGGTGATCTGATGCTGGGGGACGGCAGCCAGGTCCAGGGACAGCTGCAGCCCAGAATGGGAAGGAGGCCCTTGGTACCACATATCCATGCAGCAATTTCATTTGGCTATGGAGGCAACTTGGTATCTGGAGGCATGAGGATAATAGTGAAAATATTTCCCTAGGAATTATGGCTGACCAAATGCACTAAAGTAGAAAGTTTACACAGAGCTTCAATATTGCTTGCTGGATTCCTTCCTCCTGCCCTCCCTCCTTTCCTTCCTTTATTCCTTCCTTCCTCCTTCCCGATTTTCTGTGTATATGTGTATGGGTTTGTGTCCCCTCTCTCTTTGGACTTAGTCTCTTAAGACCTATGGCAAGGGAACTAGGAATATATTTCTAAATGACAAGCCTATCAATCATGTATTTAGTGCTCACAGTGGGCCAGAGATTTGTAATAAAGTCATGCTAGCTGCTGTGACAAATAGACCTCCAACTCTCAGTGGCTTAACGGAACAACTTATCTTTTTGCATTTATTATAGTTTAATTCAGATTGATAGAGTCAATGCAGTCTTCATGGACCCAGGCTTCTTCCATCTAGTGGCTGTACCCTCCTCTTGGTTCTGAGAGTCCTCTCCATCAGTTTGGCTGATGGGGGGAGAAAATGAAGATGTGGGCCAGGCTTGGAAAAGGTACTTACCACATCTATTCATATTCCATTGGCCAGGATGAAATCATGTGCCCATATCTAGCAGCAAGGGAATCTGGGAAATGTAGTCTAGCTGTGTGCTTTGGAAGAAGAGGAGACATCACTGTTGGAGGTCATTAGCAGCAATCTGTACCCCCACTCCACCCCCATGTTGTTGGCATCATTTCACTTAACTTCCAGTGAACTTCTATTCTTCCCTCCTCCCCTTTTACTATGCATTAGCATCCCCATATCAGAGAGACCTTTAATTTGGGGGGAATTGGCTTATTTCATTTACCATGATAGTCTCTAATTCCAGCCATT